AGCACGGATTTCCGCACACCTAGGATGCACTCGAGTGGCAAGTCTGCACATGCATTTGTCACCTACCGCATGGCACACAAAGCAAGCATCGTGCGGAACCCGGTACATGATGATACCATGGATGAAGTCTCACCCCACGTTGTGGTGTGGACTTCAGGGGGAGAAGGAAAAAGGTCCGCGGTGAATTCGGGAGGCGATGGAGCGGGCCTTGTAGAACAGGACTCACCTGCAGCTGATGAAGTCAGTGCGGCCGAAGGAAGCGGAGGCACAGCTGATGACTTACCTGTAGCAGGTGTCTCCATTTCGGAAGGCGTGGAAAATGTTGATGTGGGAGATGAGGTGAACAAGTCAAGCAAGCAGCATCTTACCTGCACTCTGCTGGCTGGTCAAGGCATCACCTAACTCCACACTCACTCATGTGCTTGTAGCTGTGTCCGCGGATGACTACAAGCACATGGGTGGGGGGGGGGGGGGGTGTGGAGTGTATCTGGTGGCACAGGAGTGGGATATGGAGTCAAAGGAGCATAAGTGGAAGTCCTACTCACCAAGGGTTGCCAATAGGCAGGAGGAGCAGGAAGAATGGATGCAGCCGGTCGTCATACGTCGTGCTGCAGCAGTATTGTGGGATTGGTTGCTGCTGATGAACGGCACCACCTGAGGGAAGGATGGAGAACGTACATGGAGCACGCATTACTGCATACCTGGTGTGCACGTTTCTCCATACTTGGTATGCACATATTGGCATACTTGGTGTGCGCTGCATACTTGGAGTGGACATTTCTGCATACATGGAGTGCAGAGTTTGGGATACTTGGAGTTCGTCGGCATGCGCAACCCTCCAGCTGATGGAGTTCGGCAACTCCGGCTGCTACCGTGTGTCTGCTGGAGTGTATGGGGAGCATCACAGGGCAACATGGGTGAAGTTTGAGCAAACTTGGCAAGATTGCCAAAGCATGGGGGGAAAGGCTTACGAAGATGCAGCAGGCACGGACATGCAAATGATGAAGTAGGCGCGCAGCAGATCGTCAGCCGCTGACGAACGCAAGGTCGTCGCTTCTATCGCGCGAAGTGTGCGCCCGCCAATGCAGTTCCGCGCCAACCGTACGTCATGCGTTATTTGCTACCGATTCGCGTCATCCGCAGCTGCAGTCGTCGCAGACACGCATCCACTGTGGTTTCGCGTCGTCGCACAGCAGGCATGCGATAGTCAGCAGCGGTGACAATCGCGTGTCTTAAAGTCTACGGATTCGGAAATTCGGCGGGCGCTAAGGGCATTCCGCCATGACGATACTCGGACTTCCCCATGGTTTTGAGGAGATTTCGCCATGGAGCTGCTACGATTTCCTCAGCAGCAGCCACTACTCTCTAGATCTCGATCTAGAATGTCGAGATTGGAAGGAGGGAATGGAAAACGTGAAGGAATGTGGTTTGGTTGGAGTTTGGAAGGCTCGAAGGTTGGGAGGGGAAATGTGCTACAGTGACAAGCAGCTTGGCCAACACCAAACCCTAACTTGGTTTGGGCGCACCCCTACCTTGTGGTAGTATACCACCTCGACCACCCCATCCTCCAAGGAAAACGGATTCACTAAAACCTACAGCAAGGGGGAGTGTTGGAAATCCGAATACAGTATAACGAATAATGTATACCAGTGTGCTGTTTGGTTTTAGTGTAGTCCCCTTTAGAAGCCTCCAGGTTCTACAATAATTGTCGCAATTATTGTAGGGCCACAACTATTGGAGCTCAGCATTATTGGAGGGTAAAGGGTGCAATCATTGGTACATCATTATTGGTGTGAATGGGCTATTCTGGGAGAGGTAGCTGGATGCATATATACCCCGCTGTGTCACTTTTTCAACATCATTGAGTCATCATTGGGTCATCATTCTACTTTTCAATGATCAATGCAAGATTTCTATCTTGTTCTTTTCTACAAACACGTTTCCGCTACGCTGGCACTATGCCTTTCTAGCACTTCACTACAACTATATTCGTATCCTATTAAGATGCATTTACATCATCGTTGACTTCACCAAAGTGTTGATGCCATTGTTACTGACTGCAACTGGAAGCAGCACTGTATCCACCGCATGGATGACTATTGACGGACTTGAGTACATGTTTCCGATTAAAACTCTTGCGCCCCAAGAGTCTTCAGCCCTGATGATACGGAGCCGGTTGTTTGTTTGGTTCTTCTTGAGTGAAAGGCTGTGGAGTGTTTCCATCTGCGAATAGGGTTGTGGAATGGGTAGGTGAGTAGTGTGTGGAGGATATGGGGGGAGACAGGAATGCATGGAGGCGAAGAGACCCAACAAGCTGGGTTGGGGATGAGAGAGAGGAACTACATGGGAATAGAGTTTTAAATCCATGGGAATAGAGTTAAAGATCCAACAAGCTGGGTTGGAGATGAGAGAGAGGAACTACATGGAAATAGAGTTTTAGATCAACGGGAATAGGAGTTAAAGATCCAACAAGCTGGGTAGAGGAAGAGAGAGAGGAACTATATGCAGGCTAAGAAAGAGAAACAAGCTTACAAGTGCATTCATAAGCGTCTCATTTGAACCTGGATATTTAGGAGAAGGTTGGAGGACTCAAAAATGGACAGAAACGCAACAAACAAAAGGATTGCTAATTTGAAGTCGAAGATATGGATTTCAAACATGATCATGCAGTAAAATTGCATTCTGAAATACATGTAGCAACTGGATTAATAGGAGGTGTAGCTTACCACTTCGGCTAATTCCCATTGCAGCTCCAGTGAATTTCCGCTCGTTAAAAAATCCCAAGACCTTGTTCACTTCAGCCAACGTTGCTTGCTGCTCCACCGTCAGACTATACCCAGCGCCTCCGCCTAGCGCTTGGCCTCCAGAGCCCGCTGCTCCGCCGCCGCTGTTACTTCCGCCACCTCCCGTCGATTGCCCTTCGCTTCCCGTACCGTTCCCCGTTCCGCTTCTCCCACCGTGGATAATTTCCCCGCTACCGTCAGACTTTCCCAAGTCCGATCCCGAACCAGTCCCCGAGCCTCCACCCGCGCCAGAATCAGCTCCCGTGCCTGTTCTGCTCCCCGTGCCAGATCCGGAGCTTCCCTTCCCCGTTCCCTTCCCCTTGTCTGGACCTCTTCCCTTTCCCTTTCCGATGCCCTTCCATGCGCCTAACCATTTCCATGCGCCTGACCGTGTAGCTTTCCGCGCGCCTGTTCCCGAAATGCTGTTCTCCGCTGCGCTTGTGACGGGAAGCAACAGCGACGCCGCGACGATGGACAGGAGGAGAAGGAGAAGCGGGAGAAGGGCTGGCAGGGCTAGGCCGCGCGGGGGTTGGGCGCGGTGGAGAGCGCCGTGGGTCGATCGTGATTTTTGGCGGCAGGTCGGAATGACGAGAGAGGGGAGTCCCCGCTGCGGATGTCGTTTGGACGCCATGACCGTCGTCGCCGTCATCGGAATCATCGCAACCATTGAGCTGATGTCGCGTTGTGTCTAGTCGTTTACGGACGCTTCTTGAATGAACGGTCGCACTTGTAACTGATAGGGGTTGTGACTTTCGTGTGAACGCGAGACCTGGCGAATCTGCGGCTTGAACCACACTACTAGAACGAGAGTGCGTCGGAAAAACTTCGTCGATGCACTCTGAAATTGATAGCTGGGAGAAGGACTGCGAGGTACCTTGAAGGTTCGAATCAATTGAACACCCTTCATGCTGCTCGTGAGCGGAAATGTCAGAGTGACTGACAGTTGATACGTGGGTGCGTTGACAATGTCTAGGTACGTCTACTGCCAGTTGATACGTGGTTCCGTTGGCAATGGCTGCTTGAAAGCTGTGATCAGTAAGACTCAGCCAGCGATAGCGCCATGGCCTAAGGCGTCGTGAAGAGTGGTGTCTTAGCTAGAAGCAACGATATCAATCGTCGTGAAGCGAATGCGGGTTATGGTGCGTGTGGTAACTGGGTGGGAGGAGCACTCGGAAGTCAAATCCTAGTGGGCCTGTGCATGCGAGATTGAAAGCATCTCACCGACAATCCTGGAATGAGGAGTGGCACCAGCTGCAGCATGGCGGGGCAAGTGTTTGTTTTCAACGGCTTTCTTAGCTTTAACGCGCAGCACCGTTGAAGACCGCAAAATACTGAAAACAACCGTGATAGGTGAGTTGGAAACAAATGGTGTGATGGGGGAAGTGGTGGTGGTCTGGGACAGGTGGAGACGAAAAGCACGAATTCTGCATTTCATGTCCAACCACATTTTCCAAATTTCCAAACCACGCCCGAGTCGCCTCATCGCGCCGCTCCTGGTCGGGTACGGGTTTTGTTGCTGGTTGCCCAATTGATGGGGAGCGGGAGCTAGCTGGTCCACTGCCTGATCAGCAGAAAATATTTAGCGTGGGGCAGCAGGGGCTCCAGCGTCGTGCTGACAAGGTACACGCTGCCCGACCAGTGCACGCGAATTTGCCATGCACCGGATGGACACGCTGCCCCCGAACTCGAAACCCCTGCTTGCTGCACCCCATGTACAGGCACCTGGATGACCTTCTACAGTGCACCCGGCTCGGTCTCTCCCCCACGTGCAGACCACAACAAGCAGTGCCGACCCATGTTTCCCCTTGTTTCTAGGCCAGGCGCGTGCCTGACGAAACGAATGGACGAAATGACAATCGTTTCGTAAGTGCATTCGCCCACCTGCCCCGCCATCGAGGCGAGTATCATGGTGCGTGTAACAGACATCTGGGCTGGTGCATGCTGCGACGTGTACTCCGCACTTTTGGGGTACAAGCCCATTAACAACCAGGCATTGTTCGACCACCCGACGTCAGATTTGCACTATGGTGGTAACCCATCCACATGTCCGACATTGTTAGCAACGAGCATGCAACGAACACCCACCACACAAATTCAACCCAGCCAATCCGAACAGGCCCCAGCAACGATCATCCTCGTCCGCCAAATGAAGATAAAAAACGATTAGCAAATTCACTAAAGCATCGCCTTCACCTTATCCCCCACAGCACGCCCACCATGCCGCGACTTAATCGCCGTGAGCAGCTTCCGCTGCACATCAAGCGCGCATTATGCGCGCATCACGTCGAGCACCCCCTTCTGCGTCACGTAGACTTGGCCCGCTGGGTTTACGCCCAGTATGGCCTGCGGCCTAACCGCTCCACGGTCGGACGCATTTTGAAGAATGGCGACCGTAGGGCAATCACCGACCCCGCCGCCTCCAATCAAGTGCGCCGTCGTGGTGGCGCATGGCCCGAGCTTGAGCAGGCGATGGCTCGCTGGATCGCTAACGCTGGCCCCGCAGGCGTACCACTCACTCTGCAAACGATCCGCGACCACGTGGTGATTATGGCGCGCAACATGGGCATTCCGCCCGTGTTTCGATGCTCCATTGGCTGGGTGCGCCGTGCGTTGCGGCGCCAGGGAGTGCGGTGCCGTGCCGCCACCGGCGAGGCGGCGAGCGCCGACATGGCAGCTGTGTGTGAAGCGCGTGAGAAGGTGCCGGCGCTTCTTACTCACCTCGGCTACCAGCTGCGCGACACCTTCAATCTTGACGAGACAGCTCTGTGGCTCTCTGTGCTGCCTCGAAAAACATACAGCAACGCCCGCATTCCGGGGCGCAAGGTCGTGAAGGAGCGGCTGACCGTCGCGTTTCTCGTCAACGCCGACGGCAGCCATGTTTTCCGGCCGCTCGTCATCAGCAAGGCGCGTCGTCCTCATGACTTCCGGCCGGACTACGACCCCGAAGCCGTCTGCTACTGGCGGCATAACGCCAAGGGCTGGATGACCAGTGCGGTAAGTGTGCACCCGGCCGTGTAATTCTATTTGTGCATGTGGTCTTATGTTACTTATGTTAATTTATAGTTTTCAGTGCACCCCCCCCCACCCTCCATCCCAATCCGACCCCCAACAGTTGTTCACCAACTTCATATCGCAGCTCAATGCCGCGATGTATGCCGAAGGGAGGGAAATCGCGGTTGTCAGAATGAGAAACGAGAATGATGAGTGACTAGCAGGAACAACAGTACAAATATGTCAAACCCTAATTTGGTGTACCCCTTATGGTGTGACCCACTACAGCCTAGAACCACACAAACATATAAATGTTTGACACACCCCCATAGGTAAAGTGGGGGAGACCTAGGGGTCACAAGACCAGTCAAGGCAAAACAAGGCAAACAAGCTCAAGGTGGATCTCGAGGATTCCACACAAATTCCGAGCACAAGCAAGCGGTCACAAGACCAGTTCACATGCAGTTTTATAATAGAGCAAGAGGTACAATGATCACAACCTAACAAGGCAAACATGCAGGTATATATATTATGATCACAGTACAAGTAAAGTCAGGAAGTAAGTAAGTGAGAAACAGTCGGCACAAGGCCTAGAAGAGTGCAAAAACGCTGATGGTCAACAGGCGGAAGCGCCTTGGTGAACACATCAGCAGTGTTGGCCTCAGTGGCCACGTAACGCAGAAGAAGCTGACCATGCTGCTGTAGCTCTCGAGCTAGAAAGTAACGCAGAGCAATGTGCTTCGTCCTGTGCTCCAGTCTGTGCTCCTGGCACAAGGCAATGGTTGCCTTGTTGTCGACGTACAGCACTGGAGGAGAACGAGGCTGCTCTCCAAGGTCAGTCAGCAGGTAGGTGAGCCAGCGAAGCTCCTGGGCAGCCATGGCCGTGGCGTAGATCTCAGCCTCACAGCTGGAGCTGAGAACAGAAGAAGAACGAGTAGAACGCCAAGAGACAGAGCCAGAGCCAAGACTGAAGGTGTAACCCTGAGACGACCGCTGAGTAGCCTGGTCGTCTGCCCAAGAAGCGTCTGAGTGCCCAGTGAGAACAGGCCGGTCTCGCCCTCCAAGCACTAGCCCCATGCCCGACGTACTGCACAAGTAGCGCAACACCCTCTTAGCTGCATCCATGTGCTCCTTCCGGTGACGGCCGGGAGCGACATAGCGTGCTAAGATGCTGAGAGGGTATGCAAGGTCAGGTCGTGTGCAGGTCATCAGGTACATGAGGCAGCCCACAAGCTCTGGATACGGACCACTCGGCTCTACGGACTCATCCGAAGGCAGAGCTGAGAGCGAGTGTCCCGTAGGCAGAGGAGTGGACTGAGGCGAGGAGTACGTGAACCCGAAGCGCTGAAGGACCTGCTGCACCATGTGTGACTGAGTCAAGGTGATGGTGCGCCGTGCTCTGTCTCGGGTGATCCGCAAGCCAAGATAGCTTGTCAGTTCACCCAGGTCTGTGCACGTGTGTCTCTTCTGCAGCTCGGACTTCACGTGGGCGAGTGCGGCAGTGTCCGCAGTGGCAAAGACCAAGTCATCGACGTACACGAGGATGTAGAACGGCGGCTGCGAGGTGTCGGTGCGCAGAAACAGCGACGGGTCAGCAGTAGAAGGAGCAAACCCAAGAGCCGCAAGTGTAGTCCTCAGTGTGTCGTGCCACTCACGCGGCGCCTGGCGGAGACCGTAGACTGGCCGCCGGAGGCTCCACTGGGTGCCAGGAGGGAACGACCCAGTGAAGCCAGGTGGGCGGCGCAGCCAGATCTCCTCGTGCAGGCTGCCCTGCAAGAAAGCTGTGCTGAAGTCAAGAGAGTGGAGCTCGTAGTCACGCTGAGCGGCGACGTGTAGCAGAACCCGAAGAGTGGTCATCTTCGGGGTCGGGGAGAAGGTCTGGAAGAAGTCAACTCCCTCTCGCTGACTGAAGCCTCGTGCAACGTAACGCGCCTTGAAGACAGGTGGAGAGCCCGGCGGCCGCTTCACCCTGAAAATCCACATGCCACTGACGATGTTCGCCCCAGGTGGGGGAACCTCGTCGACGTAGGTGCCAGTGGACTTCCAGGAAGCCATCTCTGTGTCCATGGCTGACTGCCACTGAGAGGAGTAGGGACCGGCCATCGCCTCTGCGTAAGAGCGTGGGGTCGGGATGTCTGGTGCATCCGGGTCTCCCTCAGGGGCAACAAGCATGGACACGAGATGGGGCAAAGCAGCGGCAAGGCAACCAAACTCCTCCTGCCTGTCCTCAAGGACGTCCGTGCCAAGAGCACACTCACCCCCGACGGACGGAGGACAGGCAGACTCAGACTCAGCAACAAGACTCGCTGCGTAGTCTAGACGACACGCAGCTGCAAAGTCGACAAGCTCAGTGACTAGGGCAGACGCAGCAGCGGACTCAAAGGAAGGGTCAGTGACAACTGTAGCTAGGAGACGTGTGACAGTAGGACTGGCAGCGCGAAGGGAGTCTGACTCCGGGTCAGCAAGAGCAGGAAGAGAGGACGCAGGAGGCAACGGGAGAGCAACACGCTGCGGAGCAGTGGACTGACGAAGCGCCATCCGGTGCGTGCCTGGGACAGCAGGAGGACGCTCACGCGGGACACGACTACCAGTGGTAGCAGCTCGAACAGGCGACGCTCGACGAGACGCAGGTGACACAGGACGTGACGCAGGCTCACGTCTCTCAGCAAGACCGTCAGTCGGACCAGTGTAAGGAGCAGGCACAGGGAGTGGGGAGGCAGGCGGTAACTGTGGCTGTGACTGGACAGACGGCGAACACTCTAAGGCGAGAGGAGAACAAAGAGGAGGAGGCTGACCAAGAACCTGCTGAAGGAGCGGAACGAAGTACGGTCGTGGCCGTGCAGCAGCTCTCAAACCAGCAGAGACACCAGCGGCAGCAGCAGCACCTCGAGAAGCAGCAGCACCTCCAGTACCAGGGTCCGCAGCACCTCCAGCAGCACCTCCAGCAGCACCGCCAGCAGCAGCAGCACCTCCAGCACCAGGGTCCGTAGCACCCACAGCAGCTCCAACGCCCGGGTCCTCAGTAGTAGCAGTACCTCCAGCAGCACCGCCAGCAGCAGCAGCACCTCCAGCAGCACCGCCAGCAGCAGCAGCACCTCCAGCACCAGGGTCCGTAGTACTCGCAGCAGCGTCAACTCCGTGGACCCCAGCACCAGCAGCTCCACTACGGAGACTGATGTGCCGAGCGTACCACTCTCGAAGCTGAGGGGAAGAGGGCGGCTCCCGCCGTGGTGGGGAAGCACGAGTACCAACTCCAGCAATACCACGAGCCCGAGACTCACCTCGCCGGAGGCTGCAGTACCGTGAGTACCACTCACGCAGCTGCTGCGAAGAGGGAGGTCCTCCAGGCGCCTCACAGTCAACTGCAACACCACCAGGCTCAGCACCCCCAGGCTCAGCAGCTCCAGGCGCAGTACCCCTAGACTCAGCAACGCCAGGCTCAGTACCCCCAAATCCAGCACCCCCAGGCTCAGCACCCCCAGGATCAGCACCCCCAGACTCAGCACCCCCAGGCTCCGCACGCTCAGGCTCCGCACGCTCAGGCTCCGCACGCTCAGGCTCCGCACGCTCAGGCTCAGCACCTCCAGCAGGACGCGAGTCGACAGCTACCTCAACAGGCTCAACCGGGTCTACCTGAGAGACACCTGAGGGAGCGGCACCCTGAGGGGGAAGGGGGTCTACCACTGCAGCACCTGGCGCGAGGAAGAGAGGCGGGGGAGGGAGCGGGGCAGTGCGGTAGGGGAAGAGGCGGTAGAAGGGCACGGACTCGTCAAAAGTGACGTCCTGAGAGGGGAAGACTCGGTGCGAGGCGGGGTGGTAAAACTGCCAGCCAGACGCATCCGGGACAAAGCCAAGAAAGACACAGGGAGCAGTGCGGGAGGAGAGCTTGTCCGCAGACGTGTCGCGAACAAAAGCTCGGGATCCCCAGACACGGAAGCGTGACGCATCGCCAACCTCCCCCGTCCACAGCAGTGTGGGCGAGGTCTCCGGAGCGGAGACACGGGGCCAGAGGTTGAGCTGATGCGCAGCGTACCGGACCGCAAACGGCCACAGAAAGTGGGGGGCAGCCGCGTGGACTAAGGAGGTACGAGCGACCTCCATGACCAAGCCAATGCGGCGCTCAGCAACCCCATTCTGCTGTGGAGAGGCCGGAAGCGTGAACGGCTGGCGAATGCCGTGCTCGGCACAGTAGGCTGCCAAGAGGTCGGAGGAGAACTCGCCACCTCTGTCAGAGTGCAAGCGCAGGACAGGAAACTCCGAGCGAAAACGCTCTCGCAGCTGAAGACGTGCTGTGCTGATCCAAGGGATCAGGACATCAGGGACTTCACCCTTGGTGCGCAAGGGGAAGACCGTGGTGTAGCGCGAGTAGTCGTCAACGACGATCAAGAAGTACCTCTCCTGGCCTTGACCACGGACGCGGGCTGGGCCCCACACGTCCATGTGGAGCGTCTGCAAAGGAGCAGTCGTCGGGGGGAACGAGGAGGAGTGAGGGGCAGCGCGCTGCCGCCCCTCGACACAGGGAAGACAAGGAGGAGCAAGGGAGGGTGGGAGGGGAGGGAGTACCCGAGGAAGACCACAGACAAGGTACCGGGCGTGCATGCCCCGAAGGCGCTGCACTGACGGGTGACCAAGTCGGTGGTGCCAGAGGACAGTCTTGTGCGCTAGAGAGCGACACGAGCAGGGGGCAGAGAGATGACCTGACGCAGACGCAGACGCAGACGCCGCTACCTGAGGGGACTCAGTGGTCAGTGTGTACAGGTCCGACCCCGGCTGCCGCGTGAAGGTAGCCAGGTGACGGCCCGTCCGAGCACACGTGCAGTGTGTCACACGCTCGTAGGCAGGGGTGAACTGGTGAACACCCCCATCCTGAAGCGCACAGCCCGCCACCAAGTTCGTAGAGAACGAGGGGAGGTGGAGACCTGACAGTGTGCCCGACGGGACAGCAGGACAAGGAAGGAGGGTGGAGGAGGTCGCAATGACCGGACCCCCAGAGGGGTCAGCGAGCGAGACAGCAACTGGTCGAGCAAGGGGCTCAAGAGCAGTGCGGTCACGAAAGAAACAGCGCGAAGCGCCTGAGTCTAGAGTGAAGGTGTGCAGTGCCTCAGTGGACTCAGTAGCACCTGGGGTGGCGGACACACACGCACCTAGAGCAGTAGCCTCACCAGTACCTGGGGCAGCAGACACGCAAGTACCTAGGGCGGCAGCCTCACTCGTGCGGATGCCTGGGTCAGGCGGAACACTCAGGTACTGGTCCTCCTCTCCACTAATAGTCAATGCATACATTGCTTTGAGAATAACATCAAAATCAAGAGCATAGATATCGATATCCTTCTTGAGGAGATCAGCCCACTGAGGGAGCTCAGGAGCGTCAGGAAACTGAGCACGCCAAGCGTCATCTAGGCGAGAGAAGCAGCGCTGCGAAGTGTGCGCCCTCCCGCACGTCTGTCCCTTGCGGCGACCAGTGCGGATGACGTACGTGCAGCTAAGGCTACCCCCCCCACCCCCGTGCTGTAAGTACCACTCACGAAGCTCCTGGGAGGACTGAGGGTGCTGCGCACTCTGGCCAGTGCCAGAGCCTCCACGACCACCACCGCCGCCTCCACCACGACCACCACCGCCCCTGCCGCCGCCACGTCCACTGCCGCCACCACCACCGCCCCCACCGCGGCCACCGCCGCCGCCGCTGCCTCCACCACCCCCACCGCTGCCACTAGCCCCTCCAGCCCCGCCACCGCCCCCGCCGCTGCCACCACCCCCACCACCACCTCCCCCGCCGTCACCCCCACCGCCCTTGCCTCCCCTGCCCTTGCCGCTGCGGCGCCCGCTGGGAGCGGACGCAGAGCCGACCTGCTCAGCACCAAGAAGGTCGACAGCAGCAGCAGAGGCGACAGAGGGGAGGAGGGGGGAGGGGGAACACCCCTCGAAGAAAGGGGTGCGGGGGTCGCCATGAGAGGCACCTACAGCTACAATACTCTTCTCAGCTGCAAGTAGTTCCTTCTCGAGGGCGGCAATGGTGAGCTCAGTGGGACAGCGAGCTAGGAAGTGGTCCCTGACTGTACGCAGAGTGTCAGGGAGGCGGGTGACTAGGTGGTAGAGAGTGAGCCAGAGCGGGGGAGGGTTGGAGGCAAGAAACTCAGCGGGCATGGCTGCACGGAAGCGGGCATCACTAGTACGGAGGTGAGTGATGAGGTCAGCGACTGTCTGGAAAGCGGACAGGTCGGGGAACAGGTAGGGAAGGGAGAGACGGCCTAGTGCAGCTGAGGCCGGGGAGGAGTAGCGCGCAACTACAGCAGTGTACAGGGCCTGCGCAGTCTGATGCTGGCCGAAGTGCTCACGCTCATCGACTGGCAGGGAGTTGCGAATGGCAAAGCGGGCGTGGGCATCGCGAGTCTGCCACTCCGAGCGAGCAGTAGCGGTAGCAGTAGTAGCAGGAGCAGGGACTGTGCCTAGTGCGTGATCGTACAGCGAGATATCCTCTCTAGCAGTGAGCTGGAGGAACAGGTGCAGATCATCGAGCCAGGTATCAAACTTAATCGGGCGGCCCTCAGAATCGAACGAGAGAACTGTAGGGCTAGCCATAGTGGAAGTAGCAGTAGCAGCAGTGGTGGTAGTAGCAGTAGCAGTAGCAGTAGCAGTGCTGTGCACAGGTAAGTAGGGCGCGGCTCGGCTGGGGCGGCGCGGCTCGGCTAGGGCGGCGCGACTCGGCTAGGGCGGCGCGACTCGGCTAGGGCGGCGCGGCTCGGCTGGGGCGGCGCGGCTCGGTTGGGTCGCGCCTTGCGGCTCGGTCGTAGGGGGGGGGGGCGAGCGCGGGAGGGCCGGTCGGGGGCCGTGAGAGGCTAGCGCGGGGCCTGCAGGGGACGTGGGAGGCTAGCGTGGGGCCTTAAGGGGCCGTGAGAGGCTAGCGCGGGGCCTGCAGGGGCCGTGGGAGGCTAGCGCGGGGCCGACGGGGGCCTTAGGAGACTAGCGTGGGGCCGATCGGGGGCCTTAGGAGGCTAGCGCGGGGCTAGCGTGGGGCCGGCGGGGGCTTAGGAGGCTAGCGCGGGGCCAACGGGGGCCTGAGGAGGCTAGCGCGGGGCCGACGGGGGCCTTAGGAGGCTAGCGCGGGGCTAGCGTGGGGCCGACGGGGGCTTAGGAGGCTAGCGCGGGGCCGATCGGGGGCCGTAGGAGGCTAGCGCGGGGCTAGCGTGGGGCCGACGGGGGCCTTAGGAGGTTAGCGCGGGGCCGATCGGGGGCCGTGAGAGGCTAGCGCGGGGCCATACGGGGCCTTGAGAAGGAGGCGCTCGAGGCGCAGGAAAAAAAGAACGGCGGCGCACGAGGGCGCGGCTAGCGGAAACGGTGGGCCCTATCGTTTCGGTCCTAGGTGGAACCTAGACTCGTAATACCATGTCAGAATGAGAAACGAGAATGATGAGTGACTAGCAGGAACAACAGTACAAATATGTCAAACCCTAATCTGGTGTACCCCTTATGGTGTGACCCACTACAGCCTAGAACCACACAAACATATAAATGTTTGACAGCGGTGCTGCTCGACAATGCCAGCTCCCATATTCTGCGGGACGAGTGCGCGTGGAGCGAAATCGTCTGCGGCATGCGGACCACCCGCCTCAGCAACGTGCGCCTCATCTTCCTGCCGCCGAACACAACCGCCTTCACGCAGCCGCTCGACCAGGGGATAATCGCGACCGCGAAGGCCCGCTATCGCCAGCACTGGCTGCGTGCCTTCACGGCGCTGTGGAACGACGATGGCGCAACAAGCGCCGTCGCCCGCTATCGCCCCAATCTGCGCGATGTGCTGGGGTGGCTCTCAGACGCCTGGATGAGTGTCGGTGCGCGCACCATCCAGAGGTGCTTTTGGCGCACGGGCTGCATGCCTCTGTCGTGGTCCCTGGAGCTCACCCATGTGTATGATGATGAGCCGACCCCCCTGGCGTACCCCGACATTGAGCTCGACGACGACATCGACGACGTCGGCGAGCTCATTGGCGGACTCGGCCTCGGCACCGGCGCAATGACCGCCGCCGAGTACGTCGCCATCGACGAGGGCGAGCCGACGTGCGCGGAGGCGGCAGCGGATGATGCGGACGTGGGCCTGGTGGCGGAGCTATGGAGGGCGCCTACCACGATGCAGGCCGTGTATGACGAATCCGACCCAATCGGCCGTGAAGCGCGGCGCACGGCACGGGCGGCCAGCGAGATGCTCATCGGCTACGCTCGCGCCGTGAGCGTGACGCCGCGCGACCTTTGCCACCTGTTCGACATTCGTAATCCGATCATCAGGGAGCGCATGGAGCGGGCAAGCCCCGCGCTCAATCTCAACACGGCCCCGCCGCCGCGGCTTTCGCCGACCGTAACTCCGCCGCCTGACACCCCGCGTCCGAGGGGCCGAGTGCTGCCTGGCTGGATGACCCAGCCGTCCCGCCGTCAGCAGCTTCTGGACGCCGGGGTTAGCGCCGCGATGGGCGGGTATGTGGAGGCGGCAGAGTGGATGCATGTGTGAATTCGTTTAGTGGAGTCATGAGCAGTCGAAAGTTAGGATGGTGGAGGTTTTGTGGATTTGCTATGTGTTTGGATTGTGCACGTAACGGGCACAATTGCAGTAGAGGGGATGAGGGGCCATGTGGTAGTTCGTGATTGGCCCGGCTTTGTGTGTCAGCTGTTTCAATCTAAGTTGAACAAATGTTGATGTTGCTACACGGTTCAGTTTTGCTTTCGTGTGGATTTCGGTAACGCGCACTTGTGACAACAGGTGCCACCCGACACTGTTACATAACGGACAAAGCGAGTGGTAACCATATGCGCGTTAGATGCACGCGCAAAGCCTGACGAAACCCTTGACGAACCGACGAAATGCAGTTTTAGCTTACAGACCCCCTTCACAAGGCAACCGGGAGGGGCTCTAACGAGCATTAGCTGTATAGTCATCTGGTGACTAGTCGAAGTTGGCTTGGCGTTGTCGGTGGCTTGGTATGGTTCAGCTTCGCAAAACACTGACCAGTAGAACTCCCAACTGGCCTGCACGAGGCTGGTTCGGAAAGCGTGCCGTACCTATCACCCAAAACAACAAACAAACCGTACCAAGTCACCCAAACACCCCCCTCCCCACCATTCACCTCTTGCTTGCTTACTTCATTCAGCTTTGGCTTGGCATTGTGGCTGGGATGGTAGCTTTGGGGCGCCTCAACACCACTGGGCCAGTGGGGCGGAATGCCGTTTTTGAGGCGCCTAAAAAATGCCCCTCACCACACCACACCACAGCGTCACGTACACAGGGTCACAGACTCACAGTGCTCCCGCAAAAGCGCCACGCAAAAGCGTAATATGCTCGCGCGAAAGCGTCGCAATTCTCCAAAACTCCCCCCCACCCAACCCATGCTTGAGGAAATGACGAACCGCGGTGCTTGCTCGTCTTCAATTCCAACGGGCAGTGGTTTTCCCACTACCCCCCCCACGCGACCGCGCCCGATTCCCGCGGTCAGTTTTCCCCATTAAAAATGACTTTAGTACACTTTCAGTGATGTCGTGGTCAGGCTCACTTTTTTTTTGGTAAGGTTGCACAAATCATTACAACTTCGTATTTATCTATGCGCTGTCCACCTCAGCTGAGCAAGCAGCGGTGGCAATGATGAAATTGGGTTTGGAAATATCTTGCAGAGGACGCGTGCACGAACTTGCCTCGCGTGATGTTCGAGAACCCTCAATGTCAGGGTTCCAGTCAATAACAGCGTGCCACCTTGGACTTCACTGGGCGGGTTAAGCACCGTTGCATTCACAATGCAACAGTCTGTCCTTCCTTCGTCATTACTTCTCCTCGGCTTCTCCGCCGTCAACGTCTCGTGAGCACATTACCACCATCTCGTGAGCCTAGAGTATTGGCGGCTTTGAGCGGCCACCATTGTTCCTCTTACTTTTCATTCGAGGTGATGCGTAGCACAGCATACTCATCTCCATTGTTGGTCTTAAATCCGCCTCTGCACCATGACGCAAACTAGGCTGGCCGCACGCGCCAAGGGCCACCCACCTGCTAGTAGCCAGGCACCTGTCGCGCGGGGGAGACGAACAAACCAGAGCGCTAATAAGCCGGCTCCGTCCCCTGAATTCAAGGCCCCCGTTAATTTAGAAGGCGTGCAAGTGCTCCCCGAGCCAGACGACATAATATCGAGGTTCGCTAAGGGAGTCAGAGTTCCAGACTGCGCGACCGATAAGCTACCTAGGTCGGTTAAGAATGACCATTTCCCCTCCCGTGAGATTAAAAACCATTACGACCAGCGAGCGAAGGTGACTATGATGGATGCCCTCCACATACAGGATGGATACGAGCTGACAACGTCAACCATCGACTTTTACCACGTGTGAGTCACGTTCAGCGTGTGCCTTGTTTTACTTAATCCTCTTCATCGTGTACATGACGTGTATTGTACGTATTCTTCCAGGGTTTTGAGCCTTTATCACAAAAAATTACACGACGGGAAAACTTGGTTGGCTCTTGACACGCTCGCCTACCAAACCGTCACCGGGGGACAGGAGCTAGCATGCGGCGTCGATTGCAAACTTCTCTTCGAGCACGACTACCTTTGCATCGTGGTTTTCACCAAGTAAGAGTTTCAGACATTATGGAAGTCATGGAGATGGTATTCCAGAACCGGCTTTACCACTCCGTGTCATGCCTAACCATACTTCCCGGGCTTAATGTTTGTTTGCAGAGTTCCTATTCATCATTTCAGCCTGGTCGTTGTCAAGGACCCCCGTCTGCTGCTGCTTAGTCAGGAGGAATACGATGCATTGAAGCCACGAGTACCCGTAAAAGCTGTACTGTACAACTCCGCGCGCGTGCACTATGACATGTGCGAGGCAATATTCACAAACATCAACGAGTGAGTTCATCATGATTCTTATTTCGTTGTGGCGTGACACCTGTTATCAACACCACGCCTACTCCTCGCTTTTATGATCCCTTTTCTCTCGTTATACCTCCGCAGGCTGCTTATGAGGGCCCTTAAAAAGGCCAACCCTGATATGCCGTGGGTGGTTGTGACAGAGAGGGTCTCACGCGTCAGCAGCCGTGCACTTGAAGTGAGTATGCCAGGGTTTAGGGTTTACCACGCATGTCAACAGACATGCGGGACTCGGTTTACCACGCATGTCTACTCTGTGTTTCATACTACTCTTATGTTTTGTACTGCAGTACTTCGAGGTACCCCAGCAACAGAACAGTGTGGACTGCGGGGTCTACGTCTGTATGTTCTCCAAGGAGCTTGTGGGCCGAGCTTTCGAATGCCTGGAAGAAGGGATCAATCATCCTCGTTACAGTGCTGCCAAATGCAGGCGCGAAATTCGGGGTCTGATGTGCGAGGCTGGTGCAGGTACACTGCTGGAATCGCTGGCATTGAAGGGGGCCGACATTCCCCCACAGAGTGATCAGCACGGGGGGGACGAGAGTGATAGCGAGGGCGGAGTTGAGGAGATAAAGGAGCCAACCATCCAGGATTTGGCGGCGGAGCAGTTGTCTCATGCTGCACAGCTGAAGGGCCTGCATGAAGACATGGAGTCTCTGAAAGACTCCGTTTACAGTGGAGAAAAGGGACTCGACAAAGTGATGGGTATGTTGTCGTCACTCTTCACGGCCGTCCAGGGGATGGCTGCCAAGACAGGGTTCAAGCTGCCGACGGGTTTAGTGGAGGTTTTGAACAGCGACGAACCCACCACCTCTACCGCTGCAGCCCCTCCGCCCCATCGTACGCCCGCAGCATCATTGGAAGCTCCAGTGAACATGATCGCTGTTCCCCACGCTTCCACCACCGCTCCGTCACATGCGCGCCCAACAATTTGCGCGACGACGCCATGTACTGTCCAAGGCCAGGGTGCCACACCCGGTGCACACAAGTCCGAGGCGGGTCACTCGGCTCTCGCGGCCGTCCCATCTAGCACCACGCAAGGTCAGCCGGTTTCTGCAGCAGGTGTTACTACAGCGGCAGGTGGCCTGGCAGGGAACGGTGAAGGTGCTCAGCGAGCTTCATCGGCGCAGGCAGGTGCACCTGATGTTGCTTTTCCATCTGCTCGGCGGCAGGCAGATGCCTCTGCCGGTGCTTCGACACAAGGGGTTGGACAGCCAGGTGCAGCATCGGGTATGCCAGGAGCGGCATCAAGTCTGCGAGGTGCACTTCATGCAGCAGGCAGTGTTCCTACCGTACCGACTGGTCAGACAGGTGCAGCAGCCTTCATTCCTACCGCCTCTACGGGCCATACAGGTGCAGCCGTGATTTTCCCAACTGTAGCCGCAGGTCATGCAGGTCCAGCAACCGGTGTTCCGACGGCATCGGCCGGTCACGCAACGGCAGCATCCGGTGTTCCGACTGGCGCCGCGGGTTTAGGGGTTTCAGCAGCCGAGGTCCAGGGTGCTCAATGGTCGGTTGTGGCGGCAGGCACTGCAAGGGCACCTGATGTTCAAAGGGCTTCTTCTGTATGGTCTTCGGGGGAACAGTTCTTTGCCCCATCTGCCTTTCACACAGGGGCGCATATGCAGGGTGTACGCGCACCATCTGCGGTGGGGTTTGCGCAGAATGCAGGCGCTATTCAGCAGGTGGCCACCTCATCCGCCGCTCATTCATGGCCGATTGGGTTTGCACATCAACCTCCCAGCGCGGTTTACCCCGGTACTGTACAGCCAAGCGACTTACTGCAACTGCCCTTTTCGACGCTTCGTCCCCCGCTGCATCCTTCTGCTCCTTTCCTCGCCGCTGATGAGGTGCTCGACGATACCAACAGCCAACCAGGTCACACAACCGCCCCTCAGGGTCGCGGTTTATCGAGCATGCTCCCCGGTTTGATGCAGGGGTCCCAACATGTACTGCCCTCACCTGCAGCCTCCTCATCTATGGCGCCCGCGACCCAGGGAGGGGAGATCGGTGAGGTGCCCGGCAAAAGGGGGTGGACGGGCGTCACAAAGAAGCTGGATAAGGACGAGTGGATCGCCAGGATCGTCCTAGACCGCGCATCTCAGTCGCTGATCGTCATCAACAGCCACTTTGGAACGGAGGAAGAGGCGGCAAGGTCGATAGCCGCAGCGTCGCACGTGATGTTCGTTGACAAGCCAACGCGTGGGGAGCTCATTCTCTTGACCGCCGCCGACAAGGCCAAGCTCAGCGATTGTTCTGCACACCAGTGTGAGGTGATGGTCCGCATGAAGTTCTGGCACATGTGGGAGGAGTGGAGGAAGTATTGGCCTGCAGCGAAGGCAAAGTGGGACGAGAAAACGCGCAGGGACGAAAAGAAGAGAGCTGCATTTAACGCCAGCTTGGAGGAAGCAGATGCTCGCGCCGACAAAATCGCCCGAATGCGAGCTGGTGGAAATTCTGGGCATGCGTATGCATCGCATGAGGAGGGGTCGGGATCTAAGGATGGTTAGTTCGTGCGTTTTAGGGATGACTCCCTCATCGTGCAACGTGAGTGTGCTTCGTCCCTTTTGTGGGTTCACTCTTATCATGTAGCTCTAAGTAGCATAATGCACGCACAGTGCATCTGATGCTTGAACTGACAATATATTGTGAGAGTAGGAAAACAGGAATGAGTGAACTATGAATGAAAGCAGTACAAATATGAAACCCTAACTGGGTTGTACCCCCTATGGGATACCCCACTACAGCCTACACAGCAGTATAAGCTATAGATATGTTCTGACACACCCCCATAGGCAAAGTGGGGGAGAACAAGGGGTCACAAGACCAGTCAAGCAAGACAAAGCAAAGCTCAGGGTGGATCACAAAGTCACCACACAGTCCGAGCACAAGAGCGAGGCCAAAGGCCAGTTCACAAGCAAGAGTACAGACATATATATAAAGCTAGACAAGCAAGAGCAGGTATATATATATGTCACAGTACAAGTGAAGTCAAGAGGAGAGCAAGTGAGGCAAGACAGGCACAAGACCCAGCTGGGTGCAGAAGCGCTGATGGTCACAAGGCGCAAGTGCCTTGGTGAACACATCAGCAGTGTTGGCCTCAGAGGCCACGTACGCAAGTCGCAACTGACCACGCTGCTGCAGCTCACGAGCAAGGAAGTAGCGGAGAGCAATGTGCTTCGTTCTGTGCTCCAAGCGCTGCTCTCGACACAAGGCCAGCATAGCCTTGTTGTCTACGTACAGCACTGAAGGAGAACGAGGCGGCTCTCCAAGGTCAGTCAGCAGGTAGGTGAGCCAGCGAAGCTCCTGTGCAGCCATGGCCCCGGCGTAGATCTCAGCCTCACAACTGGAGCCGAGAACCGAAGACGAGCGAGTAGACCGCCACGAGACAGAGCCGGAACCAAGGCTGAAGGTGTAACCCTGTGACGACCGCTGCGTAGCCTGGTCGTCAGCCCAAGACGCGTCCGCGTGGCCGGTAAGGACCACTGGACTCCGCCCTCCAAGCACTAGCCCCATGCCTGACGTACTGCACAGGTAGCGCAATACCCTCTTCGCTGCAGCCATGTGCTCCGGTCTGTGTCTCCCAGGAGCAACATAGCGTGCAAGAATGCTCAGAGGGTATGCAAGGTCAGGTCGTGTGCAGGTCATCAGGTACATGAGGCAGCCAACAAGCTCCGCATACGGACCACTCGACTCTACGGACTCATCCGAAGGCAGAGCTGAGAGTGAGTGGCGAGTAGGCAGAGGAGTGGCCTGAGGCGAGGAGTACGTGAAGCCGAAGCGCTGAAGGACCTGCTGCACCATGTGTGACTGAGTCAAGGTAATGGTGCGGCGTGCTCTGTCCCGAGTGATCTGCAAGCCAAGGTAGCTGCGCAGTTCACCCAGGTCTGTGCACGTGTGTCTCTTCAACAGCTCGGACTTCACGTAGGCGAGTCCAGCAGTGTCCGCTGTGGCAAAGACCAGGTCGTCGACGTACACGAGGATGTAGAACGGCGGCAGGGAAGTGTCGGTGCGAAGAAACAGCGACGGGTCAGCAGTAGAAGGAGCAAACCCAAGAGCCGCAAGTGTAGTCCTCAGTGTGTCGTGCCACTCACGCGGTGCCTGGCGGAGACCGTAGACTGGCCGTCGGAGGCTCCACTGGGTGCCAGGAGGGAAAGTCCCAGTGAAGCCAGGTGGACGGCGAAGCCAGATCTCCTCGTGCAGGCTACCCTGCAAGAACGCAGTGCTGAAGTCGAGAGAGTGAAGCTCGTAGTCGCGCTGAGCGGCTATGTGCAGCAGCACCCGAAGAGTAGTCATCTTCGGGGTGGGAGAGAAGGTCTGAAAGTAGTCAACTCCCTGCCGCTGACTGAAGCCACGAGCAACGTACCGTGCCTTGAAGACAGGTGGAGAGCCCGGCGGCCGCTTCACCCTGAAGATCCACATGCCACTGACGATGTTCGCCCCAGGAGGGGGAACTGCGTCAACGTAGGTGCCTGTGGACTTCCAGGAAGCCATCTCTGCATCCATAGCTGCCTGCCACTGAGAGGAGTAGGGACCCTCTACGGCCTCCGCGTAAGAACGCGGAGTCGGGATGTCTAGTGCATCCGGGTCTCCCTCAGGGGCAAGCAGTACAGACGCGAGATGAGGTGAAGCAGCCGCTAGACACTGTAACTCCTCCTGCCTGTCCTCTAGGACGTCCGTGCCAAGAGCACACTCACCCCCGACGGACGGAGGACAGACAGACGCAGACTCAGCAACAAGACTAGCAGCGTAGTCGAGACGACAGCGAGCAGCAAAGTCGACGAGCTCAGCGACTAGAGCAGACGCAGCAGTGGACTCAAAAGAGGGGTCAGTGACGACAGTAGCAAGCAGACGCGTGACAGTGGGACTGGCAGCACGAAGAGAGTCCGACTCAGGGTCCGCAAGCGCAGGAAGAGAGGACTCAGGAGGAGAAGGCAAAGGGGCACGCAGAGGAGCAGTGGACGGACGTAAAGACATCCGGTGCGTGCCAGGGACAGGAGGAGGACGCTGACGCGAACTGCGACCACTAGCGCGAGCAGCACGAACAGGCGACGCGGGACGAGACGCAGGCTCACGACGCTCAGCAAGACCTCCAGTAGGACCAGTGTAAGGAGAGGGAGCAGGCAGCGGAGAGGAAGGCTCCAGTAGGGGCTGCGACTGGACAGGCGGTGGACCCTCTACTGGAGGAGAAAGACCAAGAACCTGCTGAAGGAGCGGAACGAAGTACGGCCGAGGCCGCGCGGCAGCTCCAGACTCAGCAGGGACAGCACCAGCACCCTCAGCGACAGCACCAGCGCCACCCACACCTCCAGCGGCAGGACCAACAGCAGCAGGCTCAGCACGAACGCCCTCAGCAGCTCCAGCTCCAGGAGGACCCGCAGGGCCAGCAGCTCCGGGAACGGCTGCACCCGCACCCTCGACGGTCGAAGAAGCTCCAGCTCCAGCTCCAGCAGCACCTCCAGACTCAGCAGCACGCCTCCAGCGGCGAGCGAACCACTCGCGCAGCTCCTGTGGAGAGAGGGGCTCCCGGCGAGACGCAGCAGCAGGAGAAACCCCAGGCTCAGCAGCTCCAGACGCAGCACCCCCAGGCTCAGCAGCTCCCGACCCAGCACCCCCAGACCCAGCACCTCCAGGCACAGCACCCCCCGGCTCAGCACCCCCAGGCTCCGCACCCTCCGCAGTAGCACCCTCAGGCCCAGCACCCCCAGCAGTAGCACCCCCAGGCTCAGCACCCCCGCGCACAGCACCCCCAGAGTCAGCACCCCCAGGCTCAGCACCCGCAGCAGCACCAGAGTCACCAGTAACCTCGACCGGGTCAACGGCGTCTACCTGGGACACACCTGAGGGGGCAGGAACCTGAGGGGGGAGGGGGTCTACCGGGGGGGGAACCGGCACAAGGAAGTCCGGGGGAGGGGGGAGGGAAGGAGTGCGGTAGGGGAAGAGACGGTAGAAGGGGACTGACTCGTCGAACGTGACGTCCTGGGAGGACAGAACACGACGAGAGGAGGGGTGGTAAAACTGCCACCCTGGGGCGTCAGTGGGGAAGCCAAGGAAGACACAGGGAGCAGCACGAGGGGACAGCTTGTCCGCAGACAAGTCGCGGACAAACGCCCGAGATCCCCAGACACGGAACACAGACGCATCGCCAACCTTCCCCGTCCACAGCAAGGCTGGGGACATCGCTGGCCGAGAGACCCGGGGGTGAAGGTTGAGCTGATGCGCCGCGTACCTCACCGCAAACGGCCACAGAAAATGGGGGGCAGCCGCATGCATCATGGACGTACGAGCGACATCCATGACCATGCCAATGCGGCGCTCAGCAATCCCATTTTGCTGTGGTGAGTCCGGAAGCGTGAAGGTCTGGCGGATCCCCCGTGCACGACAGTAGTCTCGCAGAAGGCGAGAAGAGAACTCTCCGCCTCTGTCAGAGTGCAGACGCAGAACAGGAAAGTCCGAGCCGAAGCTCTTCCTGAGCTGGAGACGAGCCTCGCGGATCCAGTCGATCAGCACCTCAGTGACTGCACCCTTGCTGCGCAAGGGGAGGACTGTGGTGTAACGCGAGTAGTCGTCAACCACCAACAGGAAGTAGCGCTCGTACCCCTGCCCACGGACGGGGGCTGGGCCCCACACATCCATGTGAAGCGTCTGCAGGGGAGACTCTGTCGGGGGGAAGTGGGAGGAGTGAGGAGTAGCCCGGAGGCGACCCTCGACACAGGGGACACAGGAAGGTCCTGGCCCGGAGGGGAGAGGAGGGAGAGACTGGGGAAGACCAGAGACAAGGACACGGGAAGCCATGCTCCGAAGACGGGGCAAGGAGGGGTGGCCAAGACGGTGGTGCCACAGGAGAGTCTCGTGAGACAGGAGGCGACAAGAACAGGGGGCAGACTCAGGACCTGACCGGGACGCAGCAGCAAGTACCTGACTCGACGCAGCCACCTGACCAGACGCAGGGACAGGAGGAGACTCAACGGTCAGGGTGTAGAGACTCGACCCCGGCCGACGTGAGAACGTGGCCAGGTGTCGGCCTGTGCGAGCCTCCGTGCAGTGGGTCACCCTCTGACGCGCAGGAGTGAACTGGTGAACACCCCCATCCTGCAGGTCCGCTCCACTCACCAAGTTCGTAGAGAACGAGGGAAGGTACAGACCCGACAGGGTGCCCGAAGGGGCAGCCGGACACGGGAGGACAGTGGAGAAGTGAGACAGGACAGGACCCCCAGAGGGGTCAGCAAGGGAGACCGCAACCGGCCTGGCGAGCGGCGAAAGGGTAGTGCGGTCTCGAAAGAAGGAGCGCGAAGCTCCGGAGTCAAGTGTGAAAGTGAGGGAGGACGAGGACGACTCAGTACCTGAGAGCGCAGTCTCACCAGTACCTGAGAGCGCAGACGCACTGGCACCTAGAGCAGCAGCCTCACAAGCACCTAGTGCAGCAGTACCAATGCCCGGGTCGGGCTGAAAACACCGGTAACCCTCATTCTCCTCACTATAATCCACAACATACATAGCAGTAAGGATA